GCACTGGGGACACGGGGAGGGGCGTGAGGCCGGGGAGGCCCCGCTAGCTGGTGCAGAGCATCCTTTCCCCGTGAGCAGCCACTAAGAGAACTTTAATGTGGACTGCCACACCTTCAGTAGCATTTTAAAAAAATACATATTTTTATTGCTTTCAGAGAGGAATGGAGAGGGAGAGAAACATCAATGATGAGAGAGTCATTGATTGCCTGCCTCCTATACACCCCTTGCTGGGGATTGATCCCACAACCAGGCATGTGCTCTCACCAGGAATCAAACTGTGACCCCCTGGTTCATAGGTCGACACTCAACCACTGAGCCATGTCAGCTGGGCTTTCCCTTGATTTTTTAAACTTGTTTACCATCTCTGCTCTTACCTTATTTCTTATTCCTATCAACACTGTGAACAATTATTAAAGATGGCATTTCTACTGAAGTGGCCACTATTAAACTGAAAAGAAACTAGCTTTTCTTGGAAAATATGATGCTGTAAAAATCTTTAAAAGCTTCAATATTTAACTTCTAATGTATTTTTAAATTAAACAGCAAACCTTATTTTACAAGCATTTAACAAGATTATGACCCAAATACCTTCATATCTGTTCAGATAATAGCTACCGCCTGATTTTCCTTTTGAATAACCCTCTTATGTTACATTAAAAAGAGTCAAGGTGAAACGTATTAACTACATAAGCTAAGCGGTGAAACAAAATTAATTTTCTGAATTTATCCAAATAAAACCAACCATTTCATAAGGAATGTCATATTATCTTACCAAAGTCATAACGATAATAATTCCAGCTTTCGTACTGGCCTCCTTCTTGATTATCGGCAAGTCCCTTTTCTCCGTATTTGTCGTACTTTTTTCGAAGATCTTCATCTTTGAGTACTTCATACGCTCTATTTATTTTTAAAAAATCACTATGTGCATTTGGGTTATTCTATTAAAAAACATTAGATATAACATTTATTTCAGATACATAATCAAGGATCTTCAGAACCTGTATCTTGATTTAATTTAATCCTGAGATTTTGGGGAGAATAGATATCCAAGTTAGGAGTAGTAGTACAATATGAAGTGGGTTATCATGCGTTGAAATAAAAAAGGATTTTTAAAGAATGGCAATCTTAAAAAAATGAGAACTGATGCCTCAAAAGTCTGATAGATAGATGTGTTTATACAATGTAAGTCATTCCTTCTAAGAAATGCAACTGAGAAAAGGCCAACTTATGAACCCTTGAAAAGCCTTTGTATTTGTTAAGCATTATCTGTTGCCCCTAAAACAATTACAAAGAAATTTGTAGGTTATTTTGCTATTTGAGGCAAAACTAATATATTAAGTAAATAAAAAGTATGTGCCCCAATCCATCAGATAATTACTAGTAAATAAAAACTATAAACAGAATACAGCCCAGCCAGTGTGGCTCAGTGGATTTTTAAAAAAAATGTATTTCATTGATTTTTTACAGAGAGGAAGGGAGAGGGACAGAAAGATAGAAACATCGATGAGAGAGAAACATCGATCAGCTGCCTCCTGCACACCCCCTACTGGGGATGTGCCCGCAACCAAGGTACATGCCCTTGACTGGAATCGAACCTGGGACCCTTGAGTCCGCAGGCCGACGCTCTAGTCACTGAGCCAACCGGTCAGGGCAGCTCCGTGGATTTAGCATTAGCCTGCGCTCCGGGAAGTCACGTTTGACTCCCTGTCAGGGCACACGCCAGGACTGGCTTTCGGGCTGATCCCCAGGTGGGGTGTACAGGAAGCAGCTGATAGATGTTTCTTTCCCTCTCTCTTTGTCTCTATCTAAAAATCAATAAAAATATGTTAAAACAGCAGAATATAGATTCTGGGGAAAGATTACCAAGTAATGAGAGTTTTAGAAAAATACTGATTCTAGTGCTCAGCTTAATGCAATCAAAATAAAATAATCTTTTAAAAAATTCTATCTAGAAAGTAGAAAATTAGAACCTATCTTTCTCCTTGATGATCAAATCTCAATAAAAAATTAATTAGGTGAATTATAAACATATCAAAAGAATTAAAATTAATTCAGTTTTGAAAGATTACATTATGGTACACATAATCAAATATTTATGATTAGAATTAACTCGGTTTGGCTGTTCTCAAGTTTTACTTAAAATACTTTCTGACTCTGGTCTTAAACTTGTGCATGGGAGAAAATAGTGAAATAGTAATAGCATGCTATTAATAGCATGCCATTTTTACCAAGACATACTCTCTAACTTCTAAGAAAATAATTTTTTTTACTGCTTTAAAATACTTGATCTTAACCTACTTTACTAAGAAAACTACTTTACAGACGTTGCCTGCTTTGGGATTAACATCTGTAGAAGAACTGTTAGAAATTTAGTTTTCAAATTAAGAGGTAATTGCAGTTTTGGTACTGACATGTCTTTTATTGTTCTAACCAAACACTTTTGCTTATTATGTTTTTAATACTGAAGTTGAATTACAATTTTTGACACGTGAATGTTCTTAAGCATTTTGAGCACATATTCTTTAAACTAATTTAAGTAGGTACTCAAAGTTACTAACATGCACTAATGAGATATGTTTAAAAAGAAATTTTTACCTACCGGGTTTTTATCAGGATGAAGCTTCAATGCTAACTTCTTGAAAGCTTGTCTTATTTCTCTACTGCTTGCAGTTTTGGATACTCCAAGTAAACTGTAAAAATCCTGATCTGTGTCCGCTACAACGGCCATATACACTATTAGAAAGCAGAGAATGACCCTTTTCAAGTCTCCGGCATAGTCATCTTTATTTAACCAGACTCCCATTCTTTTTCTTATACAAGTTCTGATTTAAGTGAACATTAATATACACCGCTGGTTCTGGTTGATGTAACATGCAAGGTTGAGAACTTCTGTCCACATTACTCCACGGGTGACTCAAAGATCACAAAATTGTCTCCCCAATGTTAATCTAAAGAGAGGAAACCAAGTAGTTAAAATACATTTAAAAAAAAAACGAAACACCCCAAACCCAGCAATAATACTACTTATTAAATAACATGGTCAGCAATACAATCTCCATTAAATAGTGAATCAGAGTGAGCGCCCCGGCTCTCTTATTTTGGGGCCCCCTTCGCTGCTTCCACATCCAGGTATGCCGATTTGTGAAATCACCCAAGAGATGGCAGGTACACGGTGAAAGCTAGTGCGTGGTTGTGGCTAGCCAGAACATTTTATAAGCTCAGCAAACTGTTCCGTTCAGCAGCAGAAAACAAGGGGGGGGTGGGGTGGGCAGGGGACTGTTCCTTCCTTTTTCTACCCTGCTCTAAGCATTGCCCTTTTGTAATAGCACTTCCTTTTTGGCTACTGCTTCGCCTCTTTAACGCTATCCAGTTTTCATTTTAATCAGATTTCACTTGTAGGGAATATCCTTTGGGGGGTGGGGACCAGAAAGGACAGGTGCCTTCCAGGGGGTCTGTTTTGTCATATAACCCTTCCAAAAATGGCAGCGCATTTTTGTTATAATAGATAACTTCCATAGTAGGCCGTCTTCTCCCGGGTTTTCTCAGAAGGTGCTTACATTACCTAGAAGCAGAGACTATTTTATAAAAGTAGAAGAAGAATAACTACAAGCTAACGTTGTAACTTTATTGCAAAGCTTACGTTTGGTAGAAGCACAAATAGAAAAAGAAGGGAGTCAGTTATCAGACACGCTCCCTGGTGTAGGGGGAAAATAAGGTCAGATCCCATTTACACTTGTACACTTCCCTCCCAAAGATCTCATCATGCTTAGAAAAAGCTAACCTTCCCACGCATCCTCGGGTTCTTTCTTCATTTAACCCTAAATGTCCATTTAAAACTGTTGTCCTGACCTGTGAATCACTTCTAACCCCTCCCTTTCATGCCACCAAAAAGCAGCTTTGCAAAAGACAGCGATGTATATGAACAAATATCCGTACTAGACCACAACGATTAGGAAAAAACAGAGCATTTTCTCAAACGCCGCTCGCGCGGCCCGAGCCCGGCAGGTCCCAGCGGGGTGTGCCGGGCGGGCTCCGCGCGGGGCGGCGGCAGGTAAGTGCAACCGGACGCCTCCCGCAGCTGCTGCTCGGACGGCAGGAGAGGAGCGGGAGGAGGTGGAGACCACGAGCGACAGGACGGTCCTCGGATGCTGGTGGGCGAGGTCTTGGGCCAGAAGAGCCAGAAAGGAGCCCGAGTAGCGGAGCTAAAGGGAGGACCTGGAGCAAGAGGCGGGGAGCAAGGTGGTGTGTGTAATGGGAAGGCGGGGAGCAAGCACACAATGAACCGGCCGCCAAGCGACCAGGGCTCGAATCCAGGCGCACGGCCGTCCGCCCTCCCTC